GGTGGCTGTGCCTCGAATCTAATACAGGGAGGCGAGCTGCATGCCGGGAACCTATAGTCTTCCGGCTTATGGCGCTCGGCGGCGCGACTTTTTGGTCTACAAGGGTCAAAGGGCGAGGTGGCATGCTGGGAAACGTAGTTTCCTTGGAACCAGTCTGCGTTGAGTAAGACAGGAAGAGAAATAATAGTGTTTCTAAATAAGTAATTAACATTAAGCACATTCTATGATCCACGCGCTATGAAAATGCTTTACGTGCATCATCATATTTCTCACGAGAGAATACTGTTACTATTTTGCAGGTGCGTAAACAAGACTCAGAAATTGAGCCACTGACTAGTTTAACTCACTAGCCCCGTCTTTGCATATGCTGTTCCCTCTACCTGCTATGCCTTTCTACTCCTTACTTACCTAACAGGTTCTTCAAAACCTAGTGGAGGGTAACAGCAAAGCGAGACTGCAAAGGTTCAAAACCCACTTTGAGTATGTACTTGGGCAATTTACTTCCCCTAGTCTGTGTGCTTCCCTTTCCAAAACTATAAACTGAAGATAACTACAAGACCACTTCCAAACTTATGTGAGCTAGGAATGTAAAGTGCTTACTTAGCATAGGCCTAGCACAGTAAGTGCTCAGAAATGTGTATATTATTCTGGGTGATCATTATGCACAATCATAATTAACCTGGAGAAGACCCAGAACTTTAAATAGTAGCAGAAGTATTGAGAATTTTTTTCTCTTCTGCATTATGCAAGTCCAGCTGGTTGTGGGGTTACATTTCATTGTTTTCCCTTGTCTTTTGCTGTCAAGAATTGAGGGAAGTGATTAGACAGGCTTACTGACCCTGACTGGTTTCCAACAAGGGGCAGAAAGTGCCAAGCTGATAAAGGCAGGACATTTCTCTTTTTCCACAGCTGGCTCCTTTATTCCAAGGACATCGTTCTACAACAGGACAACTTATGTCCCACAGCTGCTTGATTAACTCCAGGGACGTACTCCAGTGTCTTCCTCTTTGCCAAACTTTCTGTTTTAAGGCTGAGCTCCGAGGGAGGGAAGAGCCTGTAACAAAGTAATTAGCACCACCACCAGAATGAAGATAATAATAGCAGAGCCTTCTGATAAAAGACCCTGTGGCCCAATCAAAAACTGGAGCTGTCTCAACCAGCTACCTGGCTGACAGCTCCCCACTCGAGTGTTTTTCTTTTCTCTCTTTCTGAGCAATAAAAGTAGCTCTTTTTTCACTTTGTCCCTCTGCCTCTATTGAGAATTCTTTTTCAGTCAGCAGGCATAGACCCACACATTTGGGGAAAGGGGTTGCCCACCCATGTGGTGGGATTTCCAGTTTAGGGGTTTCTCTATCTGCTAACAGAATCACTTCTCCATCGATTAGCAGTGAGGCTGTGTCTAGCAGCCAGTACTTCCCCCAAGCCCACCAATCTGATCTGCTGCTTCTAACCTTGCATTCATTAGTTAGTCTTGCATGAAAACAAAGACTGAATCAGTTCTGAGTGAGGATCTGAAGGGCTCTTCAACGAAGGAAAACACAGCTTCTTTTCCATTCCTTCCTGGACCCTGTCACTTGGGAAGAGAGTTTCAAGTAAATGAGAACTTTACAGAACTTTTCCTTTATTATTTCACATACATTAGTCTTGTCTCCTCCCCAGACTATTATGTAGACATGTAGACAAACACATGCTTCAGTTCTTGTTGTAATCTGCCACAACCCCAGCCTGCACATACACGTAACCATTTCCAGAGGATGCGAGTTCATTTCACACAACTTTCCAGGTTGGAAGAAATCTTTCCAAGAATTCACAGCAGCATACATTGTGAAACATAAGTCACACTTGTATTTGTTTTATAATTGAGACACTGATATGTTTTATCAAAATAAAAAAACAAAGATGGTATAGCTCAATGGTAGAGCACATGCTTAGCATACACAAGGTCCTGGGTTCAATTCCCAGTACATCCTCTAAAAATAAAATTAATAATTAAGCTTAATTACCTTCTCCCTAAAAATTTTTAAAAATTTTAATAACAAAATAAATAAATAATAAAAACAAGGAGGCTTAAATCAAGCCATCTCATGTGGTACAGCAACCTCTCCATATCTAAGCAATATGCCCCTACCCTCTCATCTAAGTCATGCTGCAACCAGGCACACAGGTAGCAAAACACCTGCTGGGGTTGATCTATGACCCAAAGAATATATGAACAGGCAGATGATGTAGACGTCACCATCAGCAGTCTCCTATTGCTAGGGGGGAAACAGTGGATGATAGTAGAGCCCCTCATGTCATAACTCTGGGAGCCCAGTAAAACATCTTGGGGATATGATAGCAGAAGATTCATATTTAATCCTGAGTACCTCCCAATCAATTGGTGTGGACCTTGGATTACTGGGTTGAGAAGAATTCTGAGGTTGCATCAGGACTCTGTAAAAATGTGCTCTGCTGAGATCAATTATTGATGTCAACCTAGCGTATGGAATGGGAGGTGGTGATGCATGGGCAAGGAAGCTGTCATCCTGGCTAAGGATTCAACTGTCTTGGTAGAGATTCACAGGGTGTATTGGCTCAATACTGGAGAGCTCTGGGCTTTCCTGGCCTTCATTTTTCTGGACTCTTGGGCTTTTCAAACTGTGACCCACTGGTATTACCTCATTAAAAACAATGTGAAAAGAATGAGCTTCCATTACTTGCAACAACTTGGATGACTTACAGATATCATGTTGAGTGAAAGAAAAATCAGACACAAACGCCTGTATGATTCCATCTATACAAAGTTTGAAAACAGGCAAAACTAATTTCTGATCCACAGTAATAGGAGTCAGAACAGCAGTCACCTCCTAGGGTAGTACAGACCAGGCAGGATGACCTTTGCGGGGTGCTGACAGGTTCTATATCAAGATCCAGTGGTGTTCACATGGGCAGGTACAAATTTATATTTTTATACTTAAGATCAGTGCCCTTTGCATACCTTATGTACTTAAATAAACATGTTATATTGCAATCTTAAAATATCTCTGGTAAGAGCAGCAATAGAAGCATACAGTTTTGATTTGTTTACCAAATACCTTGCATACAAAATTCCATCTCATCTCCACCCACCAAAGCCCCATGAAATAAGTACCATTATACCAACCTCTATTTTACAGTTGAGGAAACTGAGACCCACAGAAGTAGAAACTGCTCAAGGTCACATGGTTAAAGACACTCTACCATATATTTGTATCTTTCTTAAAAATGTGTCAAGAAAATCTGAATTAGTAAAACCTATTATAAATAATGGGGTTTGAATTATGAATAATGAAAATTATTATGACTTGGTCTTGCATAATTATACCATCAAATACAAAGGACTTTGCTGATTTTTAGTTGTAAAAACCAAGTCAAACACAGTCAAATACAAAAGACTTTGCAGAGTATATCCAACACCCTTTTCTGATAAAAATATGCAGCAAACTAGGAATAGAACTGTTCAACCTAATAAAGTGAAAGTCTTGTACACTGAGAAGTACAAAACTTTGCTGAACGAAATTAAACAGCTAAATAAATGGAAAGATATCCCGAATTCATGGTTTGGAAGACTTATTATTTGTAAGGTGGCAACACTCCCCAAATTGATCTACAGATTCAGTACAACTCCTATAAAAATATGAGCTGCCTTTTCTGCAGAAATGGATAAGATGATTCTGAAACTCATATGAAATTTCAAGGGGACTTGAATAGTCAAAACAAAACTGGAGGACTCACACTTCTTGATTTCAAATCTTACTGTAAAGCTACAGTAATCAAAATAGTGTGGTACTGACATAAAGATAGATATATAGATCGATGGAGTAGAACTGAGAGTCCAGAAATACACTCATACATCTATGGTCAATTGATTTTCAACAAGATTACCAAGACCATTCAACAGGGAAAAACAGTCTTTCAACAAATAGTGTTGGGATAACTGGGTATTCAAATACAAAAGAATGAATTTGCATTCCCCCCTCAAACCATATACAAAAATTGACTCAAAATGGATCGAAGGCCTATATGTAAGAGCTAAAACTATGAAACTCTTAGAAGGAAACACAGGTGTAAACTTTGGGGCCTTCAATTAGGCAACAGTATCTTAAATATGACACCAAAAGCACAAGTAACAAAAGAAGAAAATAAATACTGTGGACGTCATCAAAATTAAAAACTTTTGTGTATCAAAGTCCATTATCAAGAAAGTGAAAGGACAGCCCATAAAATGAAAGAAAATACTGGCGAATTCCATACCTGAGAATACTAGTTAATATTCAGAATATATTTTTAAAAAACTCTTACACCTCAAAAAAAAAGGACAAAAACCCAATTAAAAAGCATTGAATTGTACATTTTAAATGGTTAAAATGGTGAATTTTATGTTATGCGAATTTTAATTTAAAGTGTGTTGAAAAGAAAACACATTTTGGTGCCCACCACACTAACCTAGATTAGAACTGAGGCTCTTCTATTCATCCATGTAGCAAGGTGCTTCATCTGCCTCTATTTCCCAATCTGTGAAAGAGACATGAACTTCCTCACCAAGCCTTTCTGAGGATTCACTGATAACATAGGTAAAGGGCATGGCACAGAATATGCATCCAATATGTATTTACAAAATAAATAAACAATAACAACAGGAATAATTGTAGTATCTATTGAGCCCTCACTGAGTCAGATGGCTTACACAGATTATCTCTTCTCGTTTAATCATCCAACTGTAGCTCAATGAGGTAGGTACAGATTACAGCTGAGGAAACAGAAGCTTAGAGAGGTTGAATGCCTTATCCAAGGTCACACACCATTATTAAGTGATGTGGCTGGCATCTGAACCCCCAGAAAGGAATAGAAAATCTTTAGGGAGCACTCTGTGCTAAGCAAGACACCAAACTGAGCAGTTTACATGCATTACCTCATTTAGCCCACACAACTGCATGAAGTGAGCATTATTATTGTCCCCATTTTGTACATTCGATGCTGGAGAAACAGAGAAGTTGAATAGCTTGCTCAAGGTCACTCAGCTTGCAGGGGCAGAGACAACTTACTTAGCCACCATACTTATACTGCCTACATCTGAACGAATGAATGGACAGAGATACGAATGTAACCGAGCAAGGGCTCCTGTGTCCACAGCACAGAAAGCCAAACTCTGACAGCTGATGGTCGTGGCAAAATAAGGGTTTATTTGCAGGATGCCAAGCAAGGGAGTGGGAGACAAGTCTCAAATCCGCTCCACCTTGGTCTCTGAGTCAGGGAAGTTTTAAAGGGGAAGAAAAAAGGAACTGGGATTAATCATTGTCTTGTGACATTTGTGTCTTAATGGTGGTGTAGGGAGTCAGCATGTCTCTATTTTATGATTCTCTGGCCAAGTAGTCCATGGCTTGGGGGTCTGGGAGCTCATCTTGCCCTGTAGAAAGTCTCAGTTTTTACATTAATGATGATGTCTATGATAGCAATTTTAGTACATGAATTATGTTATCAATAACAGCAATCTTGGTCATCTAACTGGTCAGTTAGTGTTCAGTTAGCACAGGATTGAGGTCAGAGTGGACAAGAAGGGGATTGAGGTCAAAGAGGACAAGTACAAGAATAAACTTTTAGACAGAGAAATTTGTCATAAACTCCATAAAGGAACTTGGTTTTAGGGAGACTCAGCCTCACACACAAATAAATGAAGTGTGATGGGCCTGGGAGCAGGTATGACCTCCCTGGGGAATAGGGCAAAGTTAGCAATAGGGGTAGGACAGGCCCAGTAGAACCTGAGAGGCGGAAGTGGAAAGCTCCATAGATCTTTCATTATCTGTTTGGTTCACCATGTACCACCAATGCCTAGAACTATGTCTGCATATAGTAGATGCTCATCAAATATTTGTTGAATGAATAAATGAATGAACTGAGGTAGCAATGACTGGGGGTCAGGAGAGCTGGATCTGAACTCAGTTTGCCAAGATGAGGCTTTGGAAAAGACCCTTCCCTTTCTGGGCTTCAGCTTAGTCTCTGTGATTCTACAAAAAGCCCAAGGCCCTGAAGTTGGGCCTTGGCCTCTTGCCTCAGGTTCTGTGCCTGATCATACACCAGCCACCCTTGGCCAGTAGTGAGTCACCCCAACCCTGACGTAGAATCTGCTAACCTCCCTGACCACCACCACCCTTCAGACCCTGAGAACCCATGACACACTTGCTGGCAGCCTTGGGGGTTGGCAGCGTCTGCAGCGGCCACCTCCACTCCTTTCTCCCCACGGTGATAAAATTGGTCCAACCGGTTCTCTTGGGCGAGGCAGGATACCTGCTCTGGAACTGGGACTTTCAAGCCACAGCCTTTGTCATTTGTCCCAGATATTCTCAGCTCCTTCTTATGACAAAGAAAAGAGTCCTTTATATCAGATGTTAACTCCTAGCTCTCTCTCAGCCTGCATGGCGGATTCTTACTGGGGAAAACTTACCCTTGGCCTCTGTGGGAGGAGGGGTGAGTAGAGGGGGCCTTGTTCTCACAAAGTATGTCAATAAGTGTTGTCCAGCAATTCCTGGGTAGGTCTAACCACTGGAGATTTATCAGTGAATAAACAGACAAAAATCCTTGTCCTTATGGATCTTTTGTTTCTAGTGAGGAGAACAAAGAAAGAAATGTCTAATACAATGTCAAGGATGATGAATAAAAATGAAGCAGGGTAAGGGACTAAAGAATGATGGAAGTAAGTGAGGGTTATTTTAAACAGATTAGCCAGAGAAGACCTCTCTAAGGAAATGACTTTTGGACAAAGGTGAATAGAGGGAAGCAGCCAGCCATATGAAAATCTAGGGGAAGAGCATTCTAGACAGAGGGAAGAGCAAGTGCAAAGACCCTGAGGCAGGAACTAATCTATATGATGGAGCAATAGCTAGAGGGCAGGTGTAGCTGGAGTGGGAATATGAAAAGAGGGGGTAGGGGGGAGAGTATAGCTCAAATGGTAGAGTGCCTGCTTAGCATGCACTAGGTCCTAGGTTCAATCCCCAGTACCTCCACTGAAAAAGTAAAAAAATAAATAAACCTAATTACCTCCCCACTGCAAAACAAAAAATTTAAATAAAAAAGAAAAGAAAAGAAGGGTAAGAGGTGAGGGCTGCATCAGGTAGAACCTTGAAATCTACAGGGAAAACTTCAGATTTCATTCTGGAGAGACTGGAAGCCACTGAAGGGCTTTAAACAGGAAAGTGGCATAACCTGATTGAGGGTCTAGAAAGATTCCCTGGGCTGCTGTCAAGAGAATGAATCATAGTAGGGGAAGAGAGAAAGCAGGGAGACCAAAGGGAAGGCTGATGATACAGTCATCCTTGTAGGAGAGGCTGGCATCCTGGACAGAGCAGTGTGGCCAAGGAGACGAGCAGTGGTTGGAGCCTCAGAGAAGTGGTTCCAAAAAAACCCCATAGCCCATTAGAGCTGAGGGCTTTAGAGATCCTAAAAGAAGACAAGAGCTTTGGAGTCTGTCAGTCCTGGACTGGAGGCTCTGCTCCACACATTCTGGCTGTGAGTCCTTGGGCAAGTTGTGATGCCTCTCTTGAGCCTTGGTTTTCCCACCTGTAAAATGGGTGTAATGAGATAGCCTGCTTCCAAGGGGTGTCTTGAGGACTTAGTAACATGTAAATAAAGCATAGAGCACAGGGCTTGGTGTTTAGTATATAGTCAGTAAAGTCACAACTCAACTACCCACATTTATTGATAGAGAAACTGAGGCCAGCTCTAGCTGAGAGGTAGACAGAGGACCGGAAGAAAAGGAAGCAGAATTTACAGAGTAAGTCATATACCTATAGAGACTAGAAATAAGATGAATGAGTAAAGTGGGCCAGGAACGTGAAAAATCATGTGGCCACGTCTGGCCATCTTGCTTTCCCACTTTTGAAACAAATGTAACACATGTACCCACCTAAAGGGGCTGGTGGCCCAGCTCCATCTGCCTGCTGCCCAACTGTGCCAGACACCCCATTTTTCAATGGAAGTTAGAAATCCAGATTTTTATGTGAAATCTCCCAAATTTTTAATTACATTTTCTAATTGCTTCTGGAGTACAGGAACACAGTAAATCTTTACATGTTGATCTTGCTATTATTTCAGCATCCTTGCTATTATCTCCCCCTTTCTGATCCTTGCACAATTTCTTTCTTTTCTTGCTTTGACTAGGTCTCCAATATAATGTCAGTCACAATAGCAGACATCTTTGTCTTATTCCTGACACAGACAGAATACATCTCACCTTTCATGACTGCAGTCTTTTAATTTCATTATTTTTCAACGTTGGCTCATTTTTTTCAAACACTGTGAATGCCAAAGTCTATCTGTAAGCAGAATTCAACCCATGGGCTGCCAGTTTGTGATCTCTGCTTTATCTGAATTCTCTCTCTGAGTTGTGACAACAACCTCATTGGGTGAGTACTATACTCCCCATTTGATGTATGAGGATTCCAAGGTTCAGAGAGGTTAAGTGACTTGCCACAGTCACACAGCTGGGAAGAGGCAGAGCCAAGATTCAAACTCAGCTCTGCCTGATGCCAAAATCTGTGGGACCCTGGATTCCCAAGTCTGTTCCTCTTTATAGTATACTCTGTCAAGCATCTTGGGGCTCTGTGAGGGGTCCTGGGGCCCAGGAGAAGCTCTGTCATCAACTTTGAGTGACCCTTGACCACAGGCCTTTCCCTCTCTGGGCCTCAGTCTCCCCATCTGCCAACTTAGGACAGCTTCAGCTATGAGAACCCCAACATTGCCCCAGCCTCCTCTCCCACAGTCCAACTTCACACCTCTGTTAAATACTAGACCTGATCTTGATATGGCCCTTGTTTTAGGGCCTGGCTTGGCCACTTACTGCTTTGTGACTTGAGGCTACTAAACCTTGCCTCATCTCAGCTGTAAAATGGGATTAAAAGTAGGACCTACCTTAAAGTGCTTAAGACACGCCAGGCACATGATAAGTGCCTACTAAATGTTAACCCTCATGAGTATTGTTAAGTACAGGCGTGTGTACATTGACAGGAAGTAGAGACAGAAATATAACTTAGGTAGTTGTATTACGATGTAGATGTGGTCTCTAACATTTCTTTCACTATCATTGTTACAGTTTAAAAAAATGTTTAATGCACCCATGACTCTTCCATTACAGAGAAAAGAGAGTATATTCATTGTAGAGAAGAAAATTCCTTAACCCAACATCCAAGGCTCTCTCTGATTTGACATCAACCCATACTTCAGTAGAGCAGAGTGGCTAAGGGCACCTGAAGGCAGGCCACCCCAGCCTGAATCCCAGGTCTGTGACTTACTAGCTGTGTGTTTGGGCAAGAAACTGCCTCTCTGTGCCTCTGTTTCCTCATCGACAAAATAAGGAAAGTGACAATTCTCACCCAATGGGGCTGACATGATATGATATAAAAGTCTTAGCACAGCATCCATCCTGTGGAGGCTTGAAGCGTATTAGTAATTATCATGATCCACCCACTTCCCCAAGTCTTTGTCATCCTAGACTATTCACCAGGCGCAGAACATAACAGGCCTTGCATTGTCATACCTTGAGGTCTTTGCTCATGCCGGCTCTACCTGGCATGCCTTTGTCCGTCTGTCCACCCAGCATACTCTGTCAAGGCCTAGATCAAGTGTTAACCTCCTTTGAGACTTCCTGTCCCCACTAGTCCCTCCTCCGGCCTTTCTGCGGGCTTGGTACGCTTACCACACTCACCCCTCAGCTGTGCACAGCTGCCTTACTCATCCCTCCTCCTGCATCTTATCCTTCCTGAGGATATGAGGAAGTTTGACTTGCTCTGAGCTCCAGCCTCAGACCCACACACAGATGTCTGAGGGATGTGCCAGCCTTCAAGGAAACCCAGTGATAAAACTGAGTCTGACAGTCCTCCCACAACCTGCCTGGTCCGCTCTCCAGCCTCAGTGTCCTCTCCTGTAACTAAGGCAGTGTGGCCCAGCAAGGCGGGGGTGAAGATAAAGGAGAAAGCATTGCTCAAAGTCCCTTTTCTCCCTTTCTGTCTCCTAGTGAGCCTGGTTTGCTCCCCACTGGATGAGCTGGAGGCGGGGAAGGGAATGCTGGATGTGGGGGCATGTATGGCCATCCAGAGACCCCTCTGGCTCTGGCCAGTTTCTGATTCCAAAGGGTTTGGGGCGAGGCCCAACATGCTACATTGTCAAGTGAGCACAAACCCCTTCCTCTGTGTGTTTCCAGGGGCACATTCTGAAATAATTGTCAGGATGCACTAAACCTTTTTAAGGCTACTGGGGCAGTGCAGTTGTGTGTAAGGAGCCATGGGACCCCTCAGCCTGCACACGCTTTGGAGAAGAGAATGTTGCCACCTAGGGGCTAAGAACGAAACTGCCAGAGCTAGGGCCTGAGCCATCTGGACACACATTTTGATATAAACATTTATCGAGCACTTTCTGAGCACTGAGCACTTCCTGCGTGCCGGGCACAATACCCAACCCTTTTCACATTTCATCATACTGGATCCCCATGACAGTCCTATGAGGTAGTACTGTCCTAAGCCCCACTGTACAAATGAGGAACACAGGGCTCAGAAAGGTGAAGTGACTTACCCAAGGTCACACAGCAAGTGAGTGTCAGTGCTTGGATCTGAAGCCAGATCTGGCTGATAGCTGCACTCTAACAATGGTAGATACCCAAGAGCCTCCTATATGCCTACATCACAGAGTGGCCAGGGGATGCTGTGAGGAGCCTCATATGAAAAGGTCCAGCAGATCAGGGCTCCAATCACATCAGGACTCCTGAAGAGCAGCTTGACAAGAGGCTACCCTGGAGGAGGGATGGGCAGGCTGCCCTGTCTTCTGCCTCAGGCAGCTTGACCACCAGCCTGGACCAGCCAGACCCTGGGCCACTCAGGCTTCACCGTCTCTCTTGCCATCATCCCTGCCTCAGATTCCAGGATGCTGCAGGGCTTTCCAGCAGGATAGGGGACACAGCGGGGCGGCCATGGGCTAGGGTTTACAGATGACATTCCGAAAGGATTTTGACCAATGGCTCACTTCCATTGGGAAGGATCTCTAGTCTGCTCCCAGAGGCCCTGGACCCAAAGGTGAGAATCAGGCAAGACCCTGGGAACAAACACCAGGGGTTCGTCACTCTGAGGCCTGGATGTAGACGGGCACAGCAAGCATGGTACATGGGCCCTCAGCCCCTGCCTGCAGCTCTGCCAGTGCCAGGTTGGAGCCCAGGCCTTCGGCGTGCCCAGGCACTACCAGCTCAGGTTCGCCCCCTACTGTACCCCCTACTACGATGGACAGCACAGCATCTGGCTCCGAGAAGGGGGGCTTGCCTGGGGTAGCCTCAGGCACTGGCCCAGCCTCTGTGTCCTTAAGCTCCTCCAGCCCCAGTGGGTCGGGCAGGGGGGTTACCACCTTGTGCCCTCCACTGCTGCCCCCGCGGGGGGCTGCCCTCCTCCGGGGGGGCCGCCGGGCTTGCAGGTCCTTGTCCTTTTGGGGGCCGAGGCGGCAGCGGTGGTCCTTGAGGTACTTGTGGCGGGAAAAGCCCTTGGCGCAGCCAGCGCAGCGGAACTTGTAGTTGCCAGTGTGGGCGCGCTGGTGCTCGGCGAGGTGGGCGCGGCGGCTGAAGGACTTGCTGCACAGGGCGCACTTGTGGAGCTTCATGCCTAGGGAGTAAGGGGAAGGCAGTGAGAGGCGCCCAGATCCTCTACCCTAAAATGGTGCCTTGGCCCGTGGAATAAAACCCAGTTTCTCAGCTTGTTCTATAAGCATGAATGTGATCTGGGCTCTGCTCCCTCCTGGTCTCATCTCCCATCTTCTCCCAGCCACTTACTCTGTGCCAGCCACACTCACTCTCCTCAAATGCCTCTGGGCCTTTGCACTTGCTGTTTCTCTCTGCCTGGAATAGCATGCTCAGCCCCCAAACCTTGGCTAACTTTGCCAGGTCACCATCATCTCTCTCCACTCTGGTCTGGCCCCTTCAGACCATTCCTTACAGGGCAGCTAGAGAGATCTTCATAAAACCTCTCCATGACATTCCCTGCCCCAAATGCCCCAGAGATTTCCCAAGTCTGCCACAAAGCCACATGGCAACTGACAACCCCCTTCACCTCTCAGCCCCATCCCCTCCCTTTCTCCCCTCTTGTTCTCTGACACCAGGCCTCCTGCCCACCTTTCCTTGCCTCAGACCCCCGCCAGTCTCTTCCCTGCCTTTGCATTTGCTGTTCCCTTACCCTGGAAGCCATTTCCTGGCTCTTCTCATCCCTCAGACTCAGCTTTCATATCACCTCCCCTCGGAGGCCCTCCCTGATACCCACCTCCCCTCTTTCTCTGCCCCCTCACTCTGTTTATTTCCATCTTTGCACTCAGCATATTTTGCTGTAACATACTTGTTTGCTGTTCATTTTTGATCTCTGCCACTAAATGCTAAGCTTCCCCAGGAGGGCTGGGTGGCGTTCTGCCTGATTCCCCCATGGCACACCCCCAGTGCCTGACACGTGGTAGATTCTCAGTAGTAACTCACTGAATGAATCACTGGTACTTCCATGTTCACCATGAAGTCAACTCCATCCCACACTCAGCCTGTGCCATGGCCCCCTCAGCCTTCCTGGGATGATGGCTCAGAGAGGGGCAGTAACTTGCCTGAAGCCACACAGCAAGACAGTGGTAGTGTCAAAAATCAAGGCCAGGCCCTCTGTCTCCAAGTCCTCAATCTACTCTCCAAGTTTTCAAACTTTCTTTAGCCCCTAAATCCTTTCTGTAAACCAGGGGTTGTTAACCAGGCATGACTTAACTCCCCAGGAATCTTTTGGCTTGTCCCCTGGAGACATTTTTGGTCATCACAACTGTGATGCAGAGGCCAGGGATGCTCCTAAGCATCCTACAGTGCACAGGGCAGCCACCCACGACAAAGAATTATCCAGCCCAAAATATCAATAGTGCCAATATTGAGAAACTGTGTTCTAGACCAGATGGTATGTGGAAAGCCAGCCAAACTGCTCTAGGAAAGCAGCAGCCCCAGGGAAAGCTCCATGGAGTCCCCAGGGAAACTGAATAGCGGTTAACAGAGACCCCTACTCCACACCCCAGCTGCCGTGCTCTGCCCAGGAGACCAAGGAACCTCCCTGGCCTTATCTGGGACCCTCTCAGAATTGGATCTCCCTCCACACCTGACCCACACCTCGATCACAGTGGGTGTCTCTCTGATATATAGTCATCTCCTCTCGAGTCAGCTTCCTGGGCGACTGTGTTTGACTCACCTCTGTACACCTGAAAATCCTAACACAGGCTGGGCTCACGGCTCACGGGAGTGAAAGTCTGTTGGCTGGAATGTACCAGGAAGCGATAATAAGCCTCATGGGATGTGTCTGCTCTTTCTAGGGGGCCTACCCCAGGGGGCCTGAGCTGAACCAGACCCTCTGGGAGGTCCAGGAGCGACTTACCGGAGTGGGAGAGGATATGAGCCTTCAGCTTGTCTGGCCGGTTGAACTCCTTACTGCAGCCCGTGTGTGTCCTAGAATCCAAAACACTGATCAGGAGCGCTGGCCAGGATTTTCTTGTTGGCTCCTCTGCTCCCCTGGGCAGGAGGGACTCCCTCATCCACCCTCAGGGCTGGGCAAGGAAGCAGGGGGCGGTGGGGAGCAAAGCAGCCCGGCAGGACCCAGGACAGGACAAAAGAAGAGAGGACCTTCAGCCTTCAGCTCTGCCCCTCGTCTGTCCCACAGCTGGGTCTTCTGCCCCCTCCCACCCACGCCACTCTCTACTTACGAGAAGGGGCATTTGTATTTCTTGAATGGCTCATGGATCAACATGTGTCTCTTCAGTTTGTCCTTGCGGTTGAATGCAGACTCACACACTGAGCATTCGTAGGGCTTCTCACCTGCATCAGGAAACACAGTTGGGGGACCAAGGGTCCCATGAGAGGGGATCTGAATATGGGGCACAGGGGTCCCCACTAGAGGGCAGTAACTCCTCTAGGGAGGTGGCCTGGGGGAACACAGCCTCTCTCATTCCTCCAGACTCTGTTTTGCCAAGAAGAGGGGGCTTTTTCAGATAGGATGGTCAGGAAAGGCCTCTCTGATGAGGTAACATCTGAGGTGAGACCTGAGGTGGTAAGGGAGAGAGCTATGCAGAAATCTGGGAGTGAGGGTCCCAGGCAGGAGGAGAGGTGGGGGTGCCTGGTGTGTCTGAGGAACAATTGGGAGGCCTGTGTGCCGGGAATGGAGCAGGGGAGGGATAACGAGGCAGAAGATGAGGTAGGCAAGGCAGCCAGGCCCAACAGGGAGGTCCTGGAAGGCCAAGAGTTTTACTCTGAGCCAGATGAGAGGCCAGCAGAGGGGCTGAGCAGAGGAGGGACAGGATCAGACTTGAGAGTTTCACAGGCTCCCTCTGGCTACATGGAGAGAACAGCCTGAGGGGGTGAGGGTGGAGACAGGAAGGAAGGAGGCTGGTGCAAGAGATGGGAAGTGGCAAAGTACAGGCAAAGTCCAGAAAACAGAATCGGCAGCCCTGCCAATGGCCTGGCTGTGGGGCGTGAGAGGAAGATAGTCAAGGATGAGTCTAAGGTCTGCACTGAGTGACACTTGCTGAAACAGTGCCCACCACAGGGGAGGGGGAGAATTACACCTTATCTAGTTGAATCCTTGCAACAAATCATCAGGAAAGTACTAGATGAGAAGACTGAGGTTCACGGTCTACAACTGGTATTTGGGGGTACTAAGATTCCAGTGCAGTAATGTGCCCAAGCCCACCTGAGATGCCCCAGGTCATCTGCTGCAGACTCATGGGCGGGGCTGAGGGTGGGGCGTGGAAAGCAGCTCTCTCCTTACAGGGGTTATGGGTCACAACCTGCCCTTTGAAACAGGGCTATTACTGGAATGTTTTATTTCCTGCCATTATTTCCTCTCTGTTCTCCCTCTGGAATGAATAAAGTACTTTTGAAAGATCCCAACCCAGTGACTGAGGAAATTCTGGTCCTTACAATGAAATGTTCTGCAGTCATTAAAAAGATTAAGGTCAGTCTGTGTTTCCTGATCTGGAAAGATCTACTGGCCATACTGCTAGGGGGAAAAGAAAACCATAGGACAGCTTAAAACAGTCCCATTTTTGTTAGAAAAAAATACAATCCTCATCCTCCAAAAAAGCCCTGGCCATATGTGTTTGAATATACACAAAATATGCAAGGAGAAAGCTAGGGAGGGAACACACCAAACTCTCAGTAGCAATTAGGATTTGAAGGAGGAATTTAACATTTTTCTACAGGTACTTCAATACTGCTTCCTTCCCATATGCTCTTACAATAAGCATGTATTACTTTTGAATAATAATAATTTTAAAAACCATGAAGAAATCAATTTGGCAATATCTACCAAAATTGCAAATGCATTTTTTTTCTTCTTTTATCGTGGTAAAATAGACATAAAATTGACGATTTAAACCATCTTTAACTATACAGTTCAGTGGCATTAAGTACATTTGTATTGTTGTGCAGGCATCACCACCATTCATCTCAAGAACTCCTTCATGATCCCAAACTGAAACTCAGTACTGCATATACATTTTAACTTAGCATTTCCATTGCTAGGAATATACACTACAGATAATGCTCCCAAAAGCTTGTCAAGAGACCCACACAGCATTGTGTGTACAAACTAACAGCTGAAAAAATAATTTAAGTGTCCATCCACATGGAAATGATTAAATGTAAGATGATAAATGCACAATAGTATGTAGCTGAGAAAAAGAAGATGCTAGTAGAAACATCTTCAAGGTGCATTGATAAATGAAGTAAAAAAGGTACATATAGAGTTATAATATCTGCTCATTTGTGTAAAAATAAGCAAGTGTTTTGTATAGACGTAAAATAAAACTAGAATGACACAGACGAGACCACTAACAGCGATTCTCTTTGGGGAGGGCAATTAGGAGTACTTTTCAAATTGCAAACTCGAAGTCACAACCTGATGGTGGTTATTTTAAAAAATAAAACTATATGGATAGAAAATACTGTCTTGTGAAATTCTTGTTTCAATATACTTTGTGTGTATATATGTGTTTCCTGGGTTGCACGTAAAATGTATTTTTTACCATAGGTCACAATAAAAACCAAACCAAAACAAAACATTACATTTGGATTGTCCATCTGAGGTGAAAGGGGGATTTGTTTCACATATATGCTTTTATCCTAGCAAAGATTTTCTCCTCAGGTTTTCTCCATGTTTAGATCCTTTTCAGTGGAAAACAAAATAGAATTTTTTAACTAATAAAAAAAATTTTTAATTAAAAAAATAAAATGTCAGCATGTCTCAACTGGGGAACTAAGGAGAGGGGGTTTTGTTCAGGTTTGGGAGGGAATTTTGCATGGAGAACAGCACCCCCACCTCCAGGGGCTCTGAATGGTCCTGGGGGGTTACTGTCAGGGGCAGAGCCAAGAGTCCCCCATCAGCCTCCAGAGGCTCATCTCTACCCTAGTGTTGGTTGGAACCCCTTGTTCGCTTGAGAGAGCAGGTGGGGAGGAGGCCAGGAAGGAGACGGGGAGGGGGATAAAGAGAGGGAGAGGGAGGGCCAGGAGGGGGATGGGGAGGAGGAATAGAGAGAGGTTGGGGAAGGGGAAGGGGGACTGAGCAGGAGTTGGTCGGGGGGCAGGGTACCCACCTGAGTGGATGTGAGCATGCAGTTTGAGGTAGTGCTCCCGCCGGAAGAACTTCTTGCACACCTGGCACTTGAACCTGCCCCCACTGCCATGGGTGGGGAGGTGACGCCGCAGGTAGCGCTCACAAGGAAACACCTGGCAGAACAGGAGTCAACGGCGTCAGGTCTGACTCACCAGCCCTTGCCACATTCTGAGCTCAAGGGGCCCCTCATTACCAGCCCTGATGGAAACACCTTCCTTTCTGCCCACCAAGGACCAGGGCCCACGGTACCACGCTGAGCCCTGAGGACGTCACAGCTCCCAGTCTCCACCCAAAAAACACTCAAGAAGCTCTGAGCTTCTGCCCAGTCTGTTTTTTCTGTCCAGAGAGGCTTTCTCTCTCAGCCTGACAAACTCCTACTCTTCCAACTCAGCTGTCACTATTTCTGTGAAGCCCTCTATGACTGCTCAATGCCATATCAGGCAAAGCAAATCCTGCCCTTGAATATGCACCCACATTTTTCAAGTCAGCATCTAACCCACTGAATCACAGCCCTTCGCTCATATGGAATCTCCAAGACTGCGGAGAGGGGCTTTCATTTCCCAGCACAGGGCCTGAGTCAAATGAATGACGAGCAAAGGAATGAATGAAGAAATCAACAAATAACTGAAGAAATAAATGGAAAGGTAATGAAAAACCAGAAAATACAGCAGCCAAAATCTCCTTCCTCACCAGGCATAGGAAGGGCATTCATTTTTTTCATTCCATGCGGTCAAGGGCACAGACCCAGCTACTTATTAGCCCCACCATTTCCCAGCTGGGTGACTTTTCTGTGCCTTGGTTTCCCTGTCTATAAAATGGGGATATGCCTACCTCCTAGGGTTAAATGAGTCAGTTCAGATAACATGCTCAGAACAGTATCTGCATGTGGTTCTTGCTAATTCATGATAACTTTTATTCAGACCACAAATTTCAAAACCCCAAATTAGGCTGTATAATAAGAAACATCTACAATGAGGGAGAAGTGAAACCAGGGCTGTCCTGGAAAATCTTCCATGTAAGGTTGTAAGAAAATGAGTAGAACAAAGAAACCAGTTAAACACATCAGGGGATGCAATCAGCAAAATCCAGACTTCAGGAAACTCCACAGGACCAATGGCCCAGTTTCTTCAACAAATAAATTAAAAGGGGGGAAAAAAAAAAAGGAGCACTGATGGGGGGAGCCTGTAGATTAACAGGAACTTGGGTCTATCACCCAATCACAATATATGGGCCTGATTCAAACAAACAAACTTTAAAAAAATTGTGATGTTTTAGGGACAAGTGGAAAATGGAACACTGCCTGGATATATGATGACAATTAAGGGACATTGAGGGCTTTCAGATCCACTGAAAAGAAGAATCAATAATAATAACAAGGACAACAAGACATCAGGAA